GTGTGCGTTAGCGTCGGAGGAGACCGTCTAATTCCCTGGCCGCAGGAAACCGTGAAGATTATCCCTATACGAGGGCTTCCGGGTTAAAACCTGTCAGCCAGGGGATCTCTTCTCGCGCTCTATGTGTGGGGGGAATGCGTGAGTGTGTGTTTAGGTGGGAGCTGGTGAGGAGGAAGCAGCGTCGCCCTCGCTGCTCGGGGCGGCGAGATCGTAGGTGGGGGCACCCGCCGATCGACTCCGTAGTGGTGGCATCACAGTAGCTTCCCGACTGTACACAATGAAAAAATATTAAAATAGACTTTTGTAATTTTTTTTTTGGGGGGGGGGGGCCGCAATAATGGATATATTTTGCACGGCAAGTCAGCGGTGACGTCACATCTGTGATGTCACCCACATGCGAAAACGTTACACAGTGTGACTGCTGACGTCATGCATCCCCGTCCCCCAACCCTCCGCGTAGGCCGTGTATTAATCCAAGACAAGAATCCAAGTCTCGGGCGATGCTGGGTAGTAAAGCTTGTACTGGTAGGAACCTCCTTGTTACACCAGCCCACAAGGGATGATTGTGTCCGTCCGTCCAAAAATGGTAGGGGTGGGGCTGGGTGGAGAGGGGAGGGTGGGGAGGGGCTGGGTGGAACTGGGTGGGGGTTGGGCCAAATTTACGGAATACACCACGCCGCCGTTGACCCTGGCCATTGACTGAGCAACCCAACGTTCTTACCAGCTCCCTCCACAGGAATGTGTTTATTAAACCGCAACGCCCTGTTAGGAAGAAGAGGAGGTGCTGGTGAGGGTGGGTTGTGATATCTACAAATATTTTAGTTTGTATGCTGACAACTAATATTTCGAAAATTGGTCAGTCTTAATATATTTATTATTGTGTCTAAGTTCTTGTCTGTGTGTGAGTCCATGTGCGTGTCTGCCCCCATGTGTGTGTGTCTCAGTCGATGTGTGTGCGAGTCGATGTGTGTGTGCATGAGTTGATATGTCTGTGTGCAAGTCGATGTGTGTGTGTTAAATCTCGATTTGAAGTTTGTGACTGCAGGGATCTTTGGTTATTTCGGTAAAGTCACGTAGGTATAAAATAAATAAAATCATGACGTTTCGGGCGCAAGACAAGCGTCCGTCATCAGGTGGGACAACCACAGCAAGAAACAATTGCTGAAGTGGGCAAAAGGGCTGTCGTGACAAGAGGCTGGTGCTCTGGTCCCGTTCGCTCAAGAAGGTCTTCATCATTGAGCTCACAGTACCCTGGGAGGACTCAGTAGATGAGGCTTATGAGCGAAAACATCTGCGCTATGCCGATCTAGCTGCCGAAGCACGGCATCATGGCTGGAACACAGAAGTCCGACCAGTGGAGGTGGGCTGCAGAGGTTTTGTGGCAACATCTACAACCAGACTGCTTAGAGACCTGGGAATTAAGGGCCAGAGCCAGCGTTCGGCAATCAGAGCTGTATCGGAGGCGGCAGAAGGCAGCAGTCAGTGGTTCTGGATGAAGAGGAAAGACCCCAGCTGGGCCCCAAAGTGAGAGGGCCAGGAGGTATGCAGTCAACAATGCTTGACTCAGGGAGGAGGACGCCCCTGCCATGCATTGTCCCATGGGATGTTGGCTATCAACAACAAGGCAACTCCTATGACTAATTGGGAATGGGACGCAAGCGTAGGATTGATCACCCTGTCGCTGGCCGCCTTTGGGGAGGGTGTATAGTATGAAAGGCCGAAACACCCTAGGAACCAAAGGGTCACTACTGACGATGCGCTCCCCAAATTTCACCAGGCTCACTGTTCATGAACTCTTGGAAGTGCTTGCACAAAGGATAGTAACATCTCATCCTGTGTTCTTTGGAATCAGGTAAGAGAGTGGGGAGGAGCCAGGGAGGAGAGATAGAGAGGGGGTGTGGGGTAGGGGAAGTGGAGCGCTGCTAGAGGGATTAGGAGCAAGGAAAAAAATGCCAGGGTTGGGAGGGGAAGTGGGCGGGGCTCGGAGTGGGAGGATTAGAAAACTGGAGATGCGGATATGAAGGCAGGCCAAAAGCAGTTATGGTTTTACCTGGTTAATAACATCCTTCCAATGATTGCTCAATCTGTATCCATCTTCCTGGTTGAAGTTATGTCTATGTTTATATATCTGGATGGCTTCATGAACAACCCTTTGATAGTTGCCCGAGGGTTTGCAGAGCACCTTGGTCTCGGAAAAAACAATATCATGAGAGCCCACAGCGTTATAGCAATGGTCAGCCACGGCGGAGGTATTAGTTGGTGTTTCAGATCTGCCTTGTGCTCGCGAACATGGTCCGAGACATGACGTTTCGTTTCCCCATCACCACAGGTACAACTTAGTTTGTAGACTCCAGGATATTGCATGTCAGGAATGACATCCTTCACAGAATTTTGTGTACTGTCCTGAATCGGACCTGGATCTTGTGTTTTTTAAGATTTTGGAAATCGTTTTGGTAACGCCTGCTATGTATGGTAACGTGATAGTTTTGATCGGCGTCTCAGGGGGTTGTTTCTCCATGGTTGGAGAAACAGCTTTGCAGAAAATGCGGTCCGAATATCCATTCATCTTAAGGACCTGGTGTACGTGTTCCAGTTCACTGGCTAGGTGGTGTTGGTCAGAAATGCAGTGGGCCCTATGGTGTAGTGTTTTGATGAGGGAATTCTAATGTGCCAGATGGTGGTGGAAATCAGGTTTCAGATAGGAATCACACAGATTTCACTCGTCGGGACAAGGGGGCTCTCTAGTCGGGGGCAACGATCGATTGGTCAATGCAGGGGTGGCCAAACTCGCGCACGCAATGGCGACAGCTGGCACGCAGAGTGGCACGTCGGTTATCGTCGGGTGTGTACAAGGGGTGTACGTTCGGGTTCTGGTTGACACGGGCGCCTCGGCTACTATCATATCGGAGGTTGTTTTCGAAACGTTGCCTTTTTCAAATCGTCGTGCGGCGCCGGTGGTTGACGTGTGCGTGGTGGCGTACGGGAGAAGTATGGGTGTTGTAGGTCAAATAGATGCTCACATTTCATTGGGGGAGATTGAGATACCAGGGCCAGTATTAATTTAGAAAACATTAGCGGTTCCCTGCCTTTTGGGCACGGATTTCTTTTAGTAGGATGCCCCTACTGATTTTCACCGAACAGGTTTGTGTTCAGATGCCGTCAGGGCGGCGGTTTTTTTTGTATTCCCCACATAGACGCGAAATACAGGGGTTGTCGGTCCAGGCTCTGGTTAAGGAAACTTTGGAGAGTCCGCCCAGTACTCAAGATTTGGTCTCGCTGCGTTACCGTAGACGGTTGGACCTGTCTGACCTGGAGGCAGGTGTCCTCCTTACCCCATCTAAGGCGGGGTATCCCGGGGGCTTAGATTGGTGGGTGCGTTGACGCTGTTGCGAGGCGGTTAGGAGCCGTTCTTACAAGTCCTTAATGTTGGGGTGGAACCGGTGGTGGTTCAGGCGGGAACGGTGTTAGCCCATGCGACGTTGACGCAGGCAACAGTACAGGCCTTACCTGCACGGTAGGGAATTCGTGGTCCACACGGACCACGCGGCCCTTCAATACTCCTTGCGTGTGGATCGACCTTCGGGCCAACTGTCACGTTGGTTGGAGATATTACAGGAATTTTAATTTTAGGTGATTTAACGAAAAGGGTTGCGGCATAGTAATGCGGACACATTATCCCGAATGCCGACGGGGGAGGGCTGTGCTTGTTCAACGGGCGCAGGACGATGTAAGCCACTGGGCGCAAAGCCATCCGGGGTAGTGACGTCAGTGGAGAGCGCAGCAGCCATTGGTAACTTTGCGCCGGTAGATGGAACGCTGGGCCTCACGCTTGCCGAATGGGGTCGGTTGCAAACGGATGACGCGTCCTTGTTGCGACTCCGGGGGCGTGCGGAGCAGAAACGAACGAACCCTAGCTCGGCGATGTCCTCAAAGATTGTGCTGAGGGACGGGATGCTTATGAGATGGAATGAGGGGTTTCAACACTACGGCCTGGTAGTTCTTACGGTTTTACGGGGTGCGTTGACTCGAGAGGTACACGAAACCAAATTATTACATCTCGGCGTTCGGAAGCCGTTATTGACGTTGCAAAGGGGGGGTGTTGTAATGACAGTGCGGGGCGATAGCAGACGGTGGGGCTCCCCGGGACCATAGTTACTAATGGAAGGGTTACCGGGACCATGGTTGCTAATGAGTTCATGAGCATTCACGCGACGGGAGCCAATGGTAGGGAAGGACGAGTTAATAAGCATTCCTTAGATGGGAACCAATTGGATTAAGGCATAGGGTGTGGTCGGGCCCGGTGAGGATAAGTAGCAGTGTGAGTGAAGGTTCAGGGCACTGCTTGGTGTGGGGAACTGCGTCGTCGTGATCTGGGTCCAGGCCATCTTCATCGTCCGCGAGTTGTCTGACAAGAAGAGGTTATGTTATCTCAGAATCGTGTCGTGTGAAACACCCATGTGTATATAGTCACTCGCAGTTGCACATTGAGTTATTGGTTGATATTTATTTGATAATAAACAAACAGAAGAGAGACGCCGTCTCTGCGAGCTATATTACATGTGTCAGTCGATATGTGTGTACGTCGATGTGTATGTGTGTGTGATGAGTCCATATGTGTGCGAGTCGATGTGTGTGTACGTTTACGTGTGTGTGAGTGTGTGTGTGTGGGGAGCGGTAGCGTAGTGGTTAGCGCGCTGCGCTGTGAACCCGGCGACCCGAGTTCGATTTCCGCTGACGGCCAACACCGGTGACGGTTATCAGAACCGGTCCTTGGCCTCCCCTAGGTCGACTCAGCCTAAAATGAGTACCTGGTGCGGTGTGTAAACATCGCCACTAGGGAGACAAAGGCGGCCAGGCGTGGTGTTGGCCACCCAACCCCTCGTGTGCCATGCCTGCCTTCATAGGTGCTCGCTAACAGCACTTGCCCCTACAGTCTTTTAAGGCGACACGGGGGATATTTGTCTATTTGTGTGGGGAGCGGTAGTGTAGCAGTTAGCTCGCTCGCTGCGCTATGAATCTGGCGACCCGCGTTCGATTCCCGCTCACGGCCAACACCAGTGACGATTATCTGAACCAGTCCTGGGCCTCCCCTAGGTCGACTCAGCCTGAAATGAGTACCTGGTGTGGTGCATAAACATCGCCACTGGGGAGACAAAGGTGGTCGGGCGTGGTGATGGCCACCCACCCCCTCGTGTGCCGTTCCGGCCTTTATAGGTGCTCGCTAACAGCACTTGCCCCTACAGTCTGTTAAGGCTATACGGGGGATCTTTGTCTTTGTGTGTATCTAAAGTCGATGTCTGTGTGTGTGAGTCCATGTGTATGTGTGTGTAGGGCAGTGTGTGTGTGAGTCGATGTGTGTGTGTCAGTCTGTGTGTCAGTCGATGTGTGTGCGGGGGTCCATGTGTGTGTATAGTCCACGTGTGTGTGTCTTAGTCGATATGTGTGTGTATAAGTCCGTATAAAATTGTGTGTGTAAGTCCATGTGTGTGTGTGAGTCGGTGTGTGTGTGTAAGTCCAATGTGTGTGTGTGTGCATCGATGTGTGTGTGTGTAAGTCCATGTGTGTTTAGGTCCATGCATGTGTGTGAGTCGATGTGTATTTGTAAGTCGATATGTGTGTGTGTCAGTCGATATGTGTGTGTTAGTCAATGTGAGAGGCGCGGAGGGTGTTGGAGGCCTTGGGGGGCAGGTCTTGGGAGGCTTCTTGAACGCCGGGCTCCAGTGAGCAGATTGAGATGTCCTCTTCCTCAACCGTAGGAAGCTGTGGACAAACCGACCCATTATACACTACACACAACTAAGTACATATACCAGCTCAACTGGGATTACACACAACAATCAGCACCCCCTACTGGCAGACAAATGCCAATTTCACGCCAGGTGCTGAGTCACCTTGTGCCCACAGGGACATCTGTAATTGAGGGGTTCCCTTCAAACGTGTTGAGATGAGATGTGATGTAAAGCACTCTGAGATGCCCCGGTGTACAGAAAGGTGCTAAATCATTCTTATCGTTATTATTGTTTACAGCAATAATGGAATTGTGTCTATAGATAGATAATCTGTATTTGTAAACGGGGACTATGACGACTTAACGAGATGGTTAGACCAGCTCATTATCATCATACACTGAATCGTGTGTATGAATATATTATTTACGTTTAACGCAAATTATATACTTGTGTGTGTGCGACGCACGAGTGCTGTGCGCTCACCTCCACCTCGCTCTGCAGACGCTGCTGCTCTGAGTGTGCGCTCTGGCTGTTGTCGCGGTAGGGCGCCAACTCGGCGTGCAGCTCCACCACCACACGTTCATACCACTGAATCTCTGCCTGCAGAGATTCCAGCTGCCAATTCCTGTCAATGAGCTGTGTGGGCCATGGGCAAACGGCGGCAAAGAAACAGAAAAGCATTTTAACGATTGCGTGCGGTTATTGCATAACATACAGATGCAACAACAGACACATAGAATCGGAATCTTTATTTATAATTGAGCAATGTAATGAGCTATGAAGTTCTTTTACACAGATGAAGAAAAGCATGGCTGAACTTCCATAGTGCTTGGATGGACTACCACCATCCATACAACCCAAGAGAACACCTATAAAAGCCTACATATATGAATTAACCCAAAAGCTGCATTACAATCTCAGATTAAGATGGCTTTCCAACCAAAAACAGGGAGTGAGATGCACGTAGCAGAGGGAAGCAGATGGTCTCGTAGTAGTAGTAGGTACTTCTACTAGAGGTGGGATGGTGGATCGTAACGTGGTACAGTCCCAAAACAGAGGATGCTCAGTAACCCAGTGCGTATCCATACTGTACAATCAGTATGAAAAAGAAGTGTATACAGGCAGTCATCAACTTACGGATATCCGACTGACGAACCTGTTTCCATGAAATGTGTTAATTTTCGGTTACCATTGACTTAAAATGCAAACTCGCATTTGCAAACTGAACCGTGGAACTATTTTGTTCATTGCAGCGATCCTCCATGAGATGTCATGAGTCAGCCTCTTGCTGGAAGTGAAAGTGGGTGTGCACACACAAGTGTGTGTATGTGAAATTGAGTGCGTGGGGAGCGGCACTTTAGCAGTTTGCGCGCTGCGCTACGAACCCAGCGACCCGAGTTAAATTCTCACTCATGGCCAACACTAGTGACAATTTTCTGAATAGTTCCTAGGCCTCCCCTAGGTCGATTCAGCCTCAAATGAGCACCTAGATGGTGTGTAAACATCACCACTTGGGATACACAGGCAGATGGGTATGGTGCTGGTCACACATCCTCTCGCATGCCGTGCCGGCCTTCATAGGTGCTCGCTAACAGCACTTGCCCCAATAGTCTATTAAGGCTATACGGGGGATCTTTGTGACGCCGAATGCTGTGCGCTCACCTTCGCCTCGCTCTGCTGGTGCAGCACTTGCAGATCCTGGAGCTGTACGTGCAAGCTCTGCAAGTTTTCGTGGGATGGCGCCAGCGCAGCATGCAGCTCCGCCACCACGCGCTGGTAGCCCAGAATCCCCGCCTGCAGGGATCCCAGCTGATTGTTGTTCTCAATGAGCTGTGTGGGCCACGGCCATAAAGCAGCAGAGGGATACGGCAAAGCATTTTAATGACTGCGTGCAGTTACTATAGAACATTCAGATACAACGCAGACATACAGAACCAGTATCTTTATTTTAAATATAGGAATCTGAACAGCTATGAAACTCTCTTTCACATATGTCCATACACCACACCACCCATGACCAAATGACCCAAAATACACCCAATATTATATTTTAGAAGAAAAGCACGGTTTAACTTTGATGGTGCTTGGATGGGCGACCACCATCCATACAACCCAAAATAACACCTATAAAAGCTCATATATATTAATGAATTAACCCAAAAGGTGCATTAAAAGGTAAAATTAAGGGATGGGATCGAGATGCACGTAGCAACAGGGAGATTGTCTAGTCGTAGTAGGTACTTCTACTAGAGGTGGGATGATGGATTGCAATGTGGTACAGTCCCTAAACGGAGGATGTTCAGTAACCCAGCGCGCATCTATACATCAGTGTGAAAAATAAGTGTATATAGGCAGTCCTCGGCTTACGAACACTGGACTTACGAACATTCGTACTTAAGAACCTGCTTCCATGAAATATATATCTTTTTTAAGATTGACTTTAAACGCGAACTCATGTGCACACAAATAGAGGTGTGGGACTGCAGCTTAAGCCTCTGGTTACCTGGTGCTGCAGCCCGTCGATCTGGCCGCGCATGAAATTCATCTCAGCATCCGCGTGATGAACTGTGCACTGCAGCCGCACCACTTCCTGTGCCGTCGTGGCCTCCTCTGCCCTGGAGACTCCCAGCTCGGCCTTGATGAACTCCATCTTGCCCCTGTACAACACCACAAGGAGGCAGCACGGCGTCAAGCACGGGCACTCCCACGCTCACTAACTTGCTCGCTCACTCGCACTGAGAATCCAACACCGAACCGTGGAAGATCTCACACTGCACTATCCTATATATCTAATCTAATTGTATATTCATAGAGCGACTTAATTCAAAGCGTTTGACATATTTTAAAAAAAGTGACAGAATTTAATCATTTAGATGGTAGGGGCATACAAGGGTTAAAGAATGAGAGACCGTGAAATAGGGTACTTCGGGATCACGAATGGGTCGGGGAGGTAAAGGAAAGAGCGGGGCAAGGGGAGTGAAGAGGAAGAGAATGAGCATTCGAGAAGCGGTAAGCTGAAGGCCACGGTGCATATGTGCAGATCACTAAATCTCAGTAAAAGAAATTGCATGGCCATGGTACGACTGGTGCTACAAGGAGAGCAGCCTGGGAACTTTTTCAAACGTGGATTGTATTACAAATTGTTCCTTGATTTTCTACTTTCCCGTATGTCCATCACTCAACCTCAGTTACCCTGTGTTCTGCTCTTCGGAAGCACACGCTCGCACATGCGTGATCTGAACACCTTGGACGTTGCACGTATTTGTCCTTCTCGTGCCATGATTCCTTGATGTGACTCTACCGCCATTCCACCACCACTCACCTCTGCCACCTCGCTACGGACCGCCATTCCATCACTCCCACACCCACCGAGCACCCTCCTAAACACGCCCCCCCATGTCTCCAATCTCACCGTCGCTGCCACCGGTGCCTGCGCTACGCACCTGGTGTTGTCGAGCTCTTCCTGGGCACGGCGCTTCTCATTCTGCAGCATCCGCTCGCTCTCCACCTTGTGCTCGCCTAGCCGTGCCTGCATCGCCACCAGATCTGCCTGAGACAGCTCCGCACGCTCATGCTGTTGCTTCAGAGAATTGGCTGTCGAAAGGGACACAAAACCACGGCGATGAAGACAGTATAGCCACCAGCGGCAGCAGGTGGAGAAAGAGCAGCAAGCATCAGGAGGAAGAGTAACAGCAGCGGGAGTAGTAGCAGAGACTCAGGGCTAAGAGGGATTAGGTACCTCAAACTTATTCACCAGCTTGCATTCAAACAGGGTCCAAAATAATAATACATGCACAGGAAGGACTTAGTGAGAGAGCATTTAGTAAACCCAGTGCAGTCCTACTATGTTAGACAATGGAAGTGGTCCACGTGTGAAATGTTTCTAGGACTTAGACTCGTTTAAACTCGTGAAAATAAGTTATTGGTGCATAGTGGTCTACAAAAATGAGTGTTCAATGGGTCCGTGGATTTAGAAAGATTGGGAGCACAGGCCCCGACCCACCGGTCTCCTCGAAGCAAGTGTTGGTCTCCTGCAGCCGTTGCTGCAACTCCAGCGCTTGATCCCGCAGGGTGTCCACCTTAGTTTGCTGCACCTCTTGGTTGGCATAGAGGTCACGCACGGTCACACTCAGCTCCGCGGCCTCGGCGCCCAGCCGCTCGGCTTCAGTGCCACGCTCTCGTGCCACTTCCTGTGCCACCACCAGGTCGGCCTCAGAGCGCCGCAGCAGCTCGTCACGCTCCTTCAGCTCCTGTGGGCGGAGGACGGGCAGTATCTATATTACACATAATTACATGTAATTTTAATACATTCATAATTCTTTTCATCGCTCACCCAAAATATTGAGAAAATTAAGTGGGCTTGGGCAGGACACATTGCTCAAGGGGATGACGGATGGTCAGCCTGGGAATGGAGCGATGGAATCTGATTGTGTGCAGGTACTAAGTGGATTGTTATCATTGCAAGATCGTGAGAGGTGGTGGTGGCTTAAGGGAGACCTTCATCCAGCAATGGATGAACCTTGGCCAATTATGAAAAGAGCTCTAAGTGATTATGTGGCTTATCAAGTATTTTCCAGGACACCAATCAATGGCCCCGAATGACAAGGGAGCTAGAGTGTGGGTAGGGGGGGGGGTAGGGGGTGGCTGTAGCGAGAGTGGAGGCCTCACCTTCTGCAGGACCGCGATGTGCACGACGTGAGCGTCGTACTCTGAGTCGGCGTGCGTGTGCGATGCACGATATTCGGCCATCTCCATGCGTGCCAGATTCAGAGTCTCCTCGTGCTCATTTCTCAGCTGCTCCTGAAGCCGCTCAGTCCTAAGCGTGAACTCTGCCAGCTCCGATGACGCGGCTTTGGCGTCGTGCACGGAACGCTCCTCGGCCTCCCGCTCACCCCGCCGCGCTGCCTCCAACTCCGCCTGCAGGCTGTCGATGGCCTGTGAGTGCGCCCGTAGCTGCTCACGGACAGATGGGCACAGTGGCACAGGCACGTGTATGCATAGGTGGGCAGCCCCTTATCACAGACACGTGCAGCGTGCAGATGAGGACAGGTAGAGACATACTGACACACGCAGTATGTAGTTGTACAGAGAAATAGAGACAGAGACACAGGCAGGAGACACACGAAAAGAAACAGAGAAATGACAAACATACAGAGACATATACACGTAATGACACAAGCAAGTCACATGTAAAAAATTGGACACATGTACGGAAAGTCACAGTGCATATGGAGAGACATGTACATAGCCACAGGCATTACATGTACAGGGAGACAACGTATACATGCAGAGACACGGGGATCGAGTACAGAGACGCACATGTGCCCATATAGGTGGCACTCACGCAGATGGGTACACACACATGCAATGGATGCTTTTCAAAATGAAAAGAGAAGAAGTTTAGATTATATTGTGAACAATACGACCACGGGTAAACACCCATGGCTGTAATGAACATACCCAAATCACGTTTAAAGAGAATATAAAATATTTCGAATACTAAAAGAAATTCCAAAAATATAACCATGATATATCAACCATTGGTAAGCATGCATACAACATGGAAACGCTCTTCATCATAAGATTATGAAGAAATTCCGAGCACCCAAATGATCGTCTTCAAATGGAGTCTATATTCAGAACAACTCAATGCCATGTCGGTCATGGGGATGTGTTTTACTATACTTCCCCATGCTGGTCAGCCCCATACAGGTGTATTAATCAGTAAAATATACTACATGCACATTCTGTGGGGAGATGCTATGATACAAAAATGGTGTTTGATCTGCTTTTTTTCCATTTTCAACAGTATTAGGATTCAAATTTAGCCAAATTAAGTACAGAACCAAAATATTATTCGTTGGGTTTATTTGTGCACTCATTGGTGGCCAGGCTGAGACCACCAACTCATTACGCTTGGGAACCCGGTTAAATCACTGCGGTTGGGTGGCTGTAATCTGGATTTGATCCTGGCATCTCAGCAGTGCTGGCACAGCATCTCTGACCCCTGGGGCACCCAGCCACCTCCCAGAATGCACTTATTTAATGGCCCATTTCCTTGACGTTTAGATCGCACTCTGAATAAAAACTCAACACATTCATCAAAAACGAAATGGTGACGTTTCAGGCAATGGCCCTTTTTTAGAGCAGAGAACTCAAAGCAATATTCATTGCAGTCTTATTGACGAATATGTTGAGGTTTTGTTATCCCTGCTTGTGCACCACGCAGGTTCACAACGAGAACACGTTTAATTTTAGCCGCGCTCCGTGCAACAAGGGGACGGGGGAGGGGTTGGCGGCGGCCACGGTACCTCCTCAGCACGGTGGTTCTCTAGTTGGTGCAGCATCTCGTGAAGGCTCTTATCCTTCTGGCTCAGTGCACGACGCAGGGTGTTGAAATGCGCTCGTGCCCTGCCCAGGTTGGCCCGCAGGTTCGACACCTCCTGAGACAGCTGGAGCATTTCGTTCTCCGGCATTGGCAACTGCGACTGGAGCAAGGGCACATGGCATGGGCACGTTAGCTCCTCCCTGTAAATCCTGCCTTCATTCGCATCGTGACGGACGCCATTTGACTTCGGATGGTGGAGACAACACCATGGCACATGGCAAGTGAAGTAGACAGATACGCTGATACCCACACACCCACGCAAGACAACACTATTCCCCACACAGCCTAAACACCGTGGTAGAACGTGCAGCAGCGTTGGTCTCAGAAACGCACCCACCGCCATCTCTGTTTACATTCGCTCAGCCAGTGAGAGTGACTAACGCTCTGGGGCAACCAGCAACTAACCCCCACGATTCAATTATGACGATGTATGGTCACGAGTACATTAAAAAAATTTGTTCTAATTTTGTCAATGTTGTTACAATATTTGTTATTCAGTTTAATCACAGTACGCTTTGAGCCACGCAGTGCTCGCCAGTTTTTAAAAGACACCCTGGTCCGCCGACGTGTTTGCTCTTCCTTGGTCTCTCTTTGCCTTGTTTTCATATTTTTAGTGAGCATCTTAACCCCAAAATGTCTGGAAAGAGGCCTGCAAATGTTAGTGCTGGAAATGAGACCAACAGGTCAAGGAAAAGTATCACTTAGAATGGTAACATGCAAGTGATAAGGCCGGTCGAGGTGGGTGAGCATCAGGCGAGTACATTACATAATACTTATTGATAATAAAAAATGTATATTTGTTTTGATATAATGTTTACCATCTGTTTTATTACTGTAATTAAATTGCGCTGATACTGACACCCCAATGAAGCCCTCGTTTATTGTTCATAAGAGACAACGCTGTAGGGAAGGCATCCCCATATGTACAATGGTATAACCCTTCAAGCGCTGATTCGATGAATGCCTTTATTATGATGAATGCTCACTTCTCCACCTACGCATCTTGAGCGCTAAGCGAGGACTGCCTGTATTAATTCCATACAGATTTCCAGCGGTGGCCTCCACTCCAGCCTAGCTTTGTCTCCCCTCTCTTGCCAAGTACAACTCTGCCATCAAAACATTCTGTGAAATGAATATGGGATTGTTATAATTGTACTCTCCATTTTGCTTCGTTCTACTGCACAGTTTCAAGTAATTTTTTAGTCATAATTACTTTTAAAATTTTATAATCCTAAGAGAATTTCAATATAATATTCTGAACATCTGCAGTTTTAGTTGGACGTTGAATATTTTCAAGTGAATTTTATGCTAAATTTCAGCTTTCCAACAACTTTTTTAATACATACTTTCTCCTACAACATCAGAGTGTAGCGCCACATTAAATGCGCACTACAATGACGATAGTTTAAAGTGATTTAAAGCATGTTTTATTTTCAAAATGGAAATATGGTTTGGGGGGGGGGCAGAGCTATGTGACGTCATATTTGAGGGGGTCTGACTTTTGGTGACGCCGTGTGACGAGGGGGGGGGGGTTAAAAATCGCCTAAAATTGCGTGACGTCATTTATGGACGGCCCCTAAGTCAAGATTAGTAATGTAATTACCAGCGAAACGTCGTACTCAAATTCTAAATGTTGTGGATTCACTCTTCAAACACACCGGTGGGCTGAAGAAGTAACTAATTGGCGTTTTGTTAACGTGACACATTTTTTACTGATTGGCCGTGTCGGGTGGTGGAGGGTTGCGACACATTTATAATAACACGATCTCACCCAAAAACCGATATGAATGACGTAACAGACATTACAGTGGTGACGTCATTGGCTCCACCCTATGTGGGCGGAGCCAACCCTATATGGGCGGAGCCAACCCTATATGGGCGGAGCCTACGGCTCGTCCTTATCGCGTCACCAAATGCCACGTGACCCCCAGGCACAGCTGCTGGACAACGGCAGTTGGTCCGAGATGCTGTCACCATGGCAACGCAAACAAGGACCACCTTGCCCAGAGAAAGCTCCTTCCGACTAAAATCCTTGATGAAACTCTCAATCTGTGATATTAAACTATGAACCTCCTTACCTACGTATCAAGCGTTCAATTTTAAAGTTTAACTTAAATAACAGAAAAAAAATCGATATTTTTTTTCTCGATGTGATCACGGTATTTATTTCGTATAACTCCGATGCCGCTGAAAGGCAACAGGTGGCGCCACTCACCTCCACTGTTGACGAATTCGGAGTCTCCAGCGTCGCTTGCAACTGCTGCGCTCTCTTGAAGAACCTCATAGTTCCTGTTGGGGGCGCAAGAGATAGAAGCAGCCGCTCAGCTCGCTCGCCCTGTCGGAGTGACGTCAAAGCCGGAGGTGACGTCATTGGCCCCGCCTACTGTGGGCGGAGCCAAAGCCCGTGAACCCCGCCCCCTCAGACACCCAATGGGGGCAGAGGAAGCTCCCTGCGACTTGAGACTCGGAGCCTCCTCGCCACGTGTCGAGAGTTCAATGTCGCAGTGAAATTCACTGACGAGGCGACTGTCTCTGGTCTTGGTGTGCTCCTTTGACTGTCGGTGTTTTGCCGTCTTGCCCAAGCTTGGATATGGTGTTGACAAATCTACAGGAAGGTATGTGCTGCACAGTTTGTTTTTTAACGACATTTATTTATGTCTTGATTACATTTTATCAATCCTTACTCTAGTATCCTTTATTGCATTTTGTTGTTGTTGATGCAACTGGCTGACCCGCCCCTTCTGGACGTGTGTGAATGAGAACGCCAAACTCATGAGATCCCTCTGGGATAAATACGCGCACGCGTGCAGATAGATGTAGCAGATACGAATAATTGACGATTATTCCAGATGTATGAAGTATTTTATTCAATGTTTTGTCACAAATCAAACGTGGAGCATAAGCAACAAATATAACACTCCTGAGACGGGCACCTCCCTTACTGACCTCCTCACCCCTCGTCCTCCTCACCCATCTGCTCGTTATCTTCACTCCTCACTTCGTCCTCCTCACCTCGTCCTCACCCCTCACCTCGTTCTCCTCACCTCATCCTCCCACCCTCTTCGTAGCAGACACGTATAATCTGTTTTTACCTATATAAATGTCATTTTGTGTCTCTGTCTGTCTGTGAGTGTTGACGCGCTTGCGAGGGATTTGGCTCTCAAACGGTGGGGTTCGCGTAAACCAGGCATGTCCAAAGTCCGGCCCGCGGTCAGATTTCATACGGCCCGCAGCTTCGGTCTTATAATGTGCAATTTATAATGTGTAATTTATAATGTGTAATTTATAATGTGTAATTTATGGCTCGCTAGCTCTGTCAGAATAAATAGATTCCTCTTTTCACCACACGGTGGCAGCACCATTCTAATGCTATCTGGCTCTTGAATAACTTCTACGGTGACGTAATACATCACAACGATGTGAGGTGGCTGTTCCTTGATCAATCTGAAATTTAGTGTTTTGAACGGGAACATCTGTCACTATTAACAGTGAAAAGCCTAAAGCACACTAATGCACTTGGACTTATGGCACTTGTTTTATTAAACTCTTGAATAAGATTTGGTTATAACTGTTGATGTTATGTACCTGTAGATGTGACACAAACTCTTTCTGAAAGATCTTGTAAAAGACAAGGGCAAAATTCACTTGTTTTAAAGTTTAATGATAACAGACCACTTTGCATTACTTATAACTCCTGTTTAAAATGTTCATGAGGCTAAGATATTTAACTCAAGGTATGCTATACAGTTTGTTCAATGTTATCTGACTGAATGAAAGGCAGAATTGCGTTTTTAGAGTTGTCCACGTCTGCCTGAGTGGCTTATATTTGGTTGCATTGTCATTTGAAAAATTAAGGTAATTGTGACAATGAATTTTTTTTATAATAGTGTGTGTTTTCATGTAACTTTTGTGGTAAAAAAAATGTCAGAAGGAACTATTGGCCCCCGGGCATCTTCACTTTATGAAATTTGGCCCTCTTTGCAAAAAGTTTGGACACCCCTGGCGTAAACAAAAATTAACCAGGTACCACGCCGGAAGCCCCGTGCTTGGCATAGGCGATTCCTTTTTCACGCCCGTCACCTTAAAATTAGTTAAATTCGCGTCTTTTGCCGATTTTTCTTTATTTTTAGAGAAAGTTTCGCGATTATTTATTGATTTCGCTTCGCCGCGCGCGGGCTGACAACGCAGCCAGCGGCACTTGCGCACAACGCGCACGAGGTGACCCCCCAGCAGCAATCCGCACGCGCCGTCGCCAAAGGTCAGGCGCACACTTTTGTATTATGTGCATTTAAACAAGACGTAAGTCGCACACATTAGTACTATAAGCATTTGTGTAATTACACTTGGCACTGCTCACATGGGTTGCCCCTAGCAACGCACACGATCGGCACGAATTTTAATTCGCCTCAAACATGCAGCAAAAACACACGGAACACGTAAATTATTCACAGTGAGATGTCCTCTTCACCCCACACCACCCCAATGATACCCCAATGCGTCCTGAAACTACTATAGAGCCCCTACATATTCTTCTAGCGCTTACATGCCATTATTTTAGCGCGGCCAGGTGGAGCGGCCAGCCCCCAGCCTGCCAAGGTCGCACCTCGGCCGGCTGGGAAATCTAGGCGAGGCTGGGGGCTCTGCACGGGACTAGGCCTCACTACGGCACTCTGTCTGCTTACTACTTTGTGCTATAGATTCGATATATACTGCTATAAAGTCAGCATGTACTACTGTAGTGCTAGCAGGTAACCACCACAGTCACTATACACTGCTGTAATCATAGCAGGTACCACCACAGTCAGTATACACAGCTGTAATCATAGCAGGTACCACCACAGTCACTATACATATCTGTAATAATAGCAGGTACCACCACTGTCACTATACACTGCTGTAATCATAGCAGGTACCACCACAGTCACTATACACTGCTGTAATCATAGCAGGTACCACCACAGTCACTATACACTGCTGTAATCATAGCAGGTACCACCACAGTCAGTATACACAGCTGTAATCATAGCAGGTACCACCACAGTCACTATACACAGCTGTAATAATAGCAGGTACCACCACTGTCACTATACACTGCTGTAATCATAGCAGGTACCACCACAGTCACTATACACTGCTGTAATCATAGCAGGTACCACCACAGTCACTATGTACTGCTGTAATCATAGCAGGTACCACCACAGTCACTTTGCACTGCTGTAATCATAGCAGGTACCACCACAGTCACTATACACTGCTGTAATCATAGCAGGTACCACCACAGTCACTTTGCACTGCTGTAATCATAGCAGGTACCACCACAGTCACTATACACAGCTGTAATCATAGCAGGTACCACCACTGTCGCTTGCCCTGCTGTAATCATAGCAGGTTACACCACAGTATCCACTGCTGTAGTTAAAGCAGCTACCACCACAGTATGCTCTGCTGTAATCATAGCAGGTACCACCGCATTAAGTATGCACTGCTGTTGTGAAACAATGTACCACCACAGTATGCACTGCTGTTATCATAGTAGGTACCTTGTGGATTGACAGATGCACAGATTAATATGATAGCGCATGAATGAATGAGTGTACAGCTGGACAGCAAATGAATGAACAATATTTTCTATCGCCATTGAAAAAAAACTAACACTGTAATCAATCACCCGATACACCTGCTGAACCAACGTATCCTACAGGAGCATATGAGTGTGTTTCATACATTACCTGGGTGTTTGTTTCTTATGTATGATCGGTATGCGTTCTACGCACGATCCATATGTGATATTAAACAAGATATTTGCCAGCTTTCCGAATGATCTGCACGTGTTTCTCGCATGATGTCTGTTTCACACCTGTTCTGTGTGGGTGGCCGGGACAATCCTCGGCCGCCTTTGTCTCTCGAGTTGCGATGTGTACACATTGCACCGGATACTCATTTAAAGCCGACCTCTAGAGATCCAGGACCGGTTCAGATTATCGCCACTGGTGATGGTGGCCGTAAGCGGGAATCGGTACATTGGATTCATCATAACGCAGCTTTCTAAACCCACACGCTCACAAACAGGACTGCAACTCATCCACCTCGCGCATCTGTGCCAGAAACTTCCAATCGTGGAGCAACGCATGAATGAAGAGACCCGACTTGCCATCGGGATATGATGGCTGGCAGGCGGTTGTTGCTATCCCGCAGGAAGCGGGCGCATGTAACGCTCACCTGAGCGTCGCGAGGCGTGCCCCGCAGGTGGTATCACATGGGATGATGCATGTGCGTCCACGTCATGGCCCTTTCACGAGTCCGCTGCTGTATGGGGACCTCCCCACCACCACGACCTAGTGGATCGTTGACCATACTTCACCACGCTGGTCGGTGCGGGTTGGTTGCAGGTGTGGGAAGCGGGGCACTATGCAAGGGTTCATGTTGCTGTACTGCCCCTTTGCTGACCACGTGGCAATTTCCAGATTCATTCAGCAAGTGCGCAATCGCCGAGCCATGCGACAGCGCCCCCGGTTTGCCACGTGCAGCTCTCGTAGACGATGACAACAAACACGCACCCTGCTCTACGAAGCCTGACAGTGGTCATGATGATGGCGGTGGTCGTGGTTCGTGTGGTACCCATCAGATTAACAAAAACTTAACATTTTTTTATTTTACCCGGTAAAGCTCAATGAGCTATATAGGTGTTTCTCAGAAGCTACCTGGCAATCATAAATTATAGCTCAACGAAGTGGCTTATCACGTGGATATGTATTGCAGCCTCGATATCACAGCCAAATACAAACCCTCTGCGGGTAACCATGAGCCCGGGCAGCAGGGGGGAAGTGGGCAGATGGTCAGGGGCCAAGGAGCAAGGGGAGGATGGAGAAGGGCAGCGGGGAGTGGGTCAGTGGCGCGGAATGTTCTTGTGATGCAAATGTTGACTGATATTTATTGAATACAACTAGAACAATTTACAAGTGTGCAATCATCGATATGATGTTGATTATAATGTTTAGCGATAATTATATTAAGATTAGGATATGCAGGAGATAGTGATGGTAATGCTAATGTCTTTACGCATGGTGATGGTAGGGAACTATTAATCTGGTGATGGCTGGGGAAGTTGAAGATGGTGATGAGAGTGCTCCTGCTAAGTAGTGGTACTTTAGATGATGATTACGATGCTGCGACTATTGCTGTAGCTGCTGAAATAATAATGATGCTGCATCTGCTGCTGACAATGATGATGCCCCTCTCCACCCACCTTCGTCCACCCCCACAGGTTCCGAGGAGGAGCGCCGCGTGGTGGTGTAAGCACTCAGCCTGCTGAAGCGCGGGAGTGCAGAGAGGCGAACCCACGAGGTGGAGACAGGAGGGCCAGGGTCCTCCTGGGGGAACAAAGCGAGCGGCGTCCTGGCGGGGTCGAGAGGGCAGGAGACGCAGCGGATATTGGCAGGGCTCTGGATGTACGCTCCATTGTAAACTCCGATGAGCACCTGATTGTATCCCCCGACGGGGACCCTATTGGGGCCCCAATGGGCAGGGACCCAGGTGGGGACCCACTACCCCCCGAGGTGACAGTGCCAGTTCTTGAGGAGACTGCACTGGGCTGGGAATTATCGGCCGAGGTGCGCGTGGCGAAAACAAGCACGTGACACCGCGTGAGTGTGCGGGCCACGAGGCCACTTACACGGGCGTCAACCTGGGCAGGTTTGAGGAGGAGGAGGCCCATCCTGGAGCTGGGACCGCACGAGGGTGAGACGGAAGGATGGAGATGGGGAGGCTCTACGAGGGAATGTTTGTCTTTGTTGTCCGGCACAGAGCGGCGCGTGCTGGTGTGCGAGCCCCCGAGCGCGTACCTGCACCTGGCCGTGGACCACTTCGCACTCGTGCTGGTGGCGTGTGCGCCGGTGCTCGACATGGCGCCGAGATTGCACGTGACCCGTGTGCGCTCCCCACGCTTGCACGTGAGTGGCACATTACAACAGCATCAACAATAACAACAGCAGCAACAACTATACGTCTCAAAATTTATTTTGGGTATCATAAATCCTCCTCCACCCGACACAGTGGTGCGATGGTAGGTGATGGTGTGTTTATAATGGCATGATGATGGTATAATGTTAGATGATGCTGTGATGTTAGATGTATGTTGAACTTATTTCGCAATGTACGTAGACACCAGTGCTTAACGGAGGTGTGTTTGCAATGGCATGATGGTTTAATGATGGTGTGATGATGATGGCATGATAATGGTGTGGTGGTAATTGATGGTGTGATGATGAAAATGCGAAGTTACATGAAAGTGTGATCATGATGATGGTGGTAATGTGATGTTCGAAGCTGTTTTTGTGTGATGGTGTGATAATAGTACGATATTCGATGATAGTGTCAAGATGATGATAGTGGTTTCATGCTAGAAGCTGTGCTTGTGATTGCCTGATAATGGTGCAGTGGTAGATGGTGTGATATCCCCCCACAGGTGATGGAGGGGACCCACGTGGGTCGCGATCTCTTCTCCGAGCTCTGCTTCACGAACCCCGTGGCACGCCCCCTGCACCGCGTGCGCGTCCGCGTGGAGGGAGCCGGCGTGCACACGCCGAGCAACATACTCGTCGGGTATGGTGCCGTCGTCACAAGTTCACGATCATAACAAGATCAAATAGAAATAGACGATGTTTCGGGCAACTACCCTTGTTCATAACACACGTGTTATCGATTGAACCAAACACATTTGCTATGAAGACGGATCATCGCCCGAAACGTCCGTTATTATATAATTTTCTTTTTAAGTCCAGGATGTTATTGACGATTGAGAGTTAAAATTTTTGCGTGCATATGCACCACTGCTAATGCAATCTCACAATACTGTTCATGTGTTTAGTGACAATTATACCTGATGCTCACACTTTTGCTGATGATGATGATGACACGTGCCTGTATGTGTCTCTCGCTTCACGATAGTGTAGCGGTGAGTGTAATTTGTTATGCACCCGCGACCCAGTTCTGGGCCTCCCCTAGGTCGATTCAGCCTCAAATGACTCTGAGGCGGTGTATGCAAGCTTCAGCACTGGGGGTACAATAGGCGGTCAGACGTGCTGCCCACACCACCCGCTCGTGTGCCTGTCCCGGCCTTAACAGTTGCTCGCAGTACTTGCCCCAACAGTTTGCTGTAGACTATACAGGGGACCTTTGTCTTTGTGTCTGTCTCGGCGCAGCAACGTGGAGGGGCACGGCTGCACGCGCGTGCCCGTGGTTCCCAAGCGCCGCGGGGAGCTCACGCTGATCGCGAGCCTCGACTGCACGGAGCTGCCGCAGGTGCACGGGGGAGCCACCTTCCAGTGCGAGCCCTGAGACTTCAGCATCACCACCATCATCAACATCATGAGTCAACCACCATCATCAGCATCGAGAGTGGTACCACCATGATCGTGATCGAGTGAACTATCATGAACGTGTTCATCATCATCATTATCATCAAGGTTGCACTCATGACACACAAAGTGCTTGCCACAAATATATCACAAATTCCTTGCTGATCTCGTCAAGGAGCGTACACCATCACGAGAACGCCGCTCATCCTCGCAGTGGCTTTTGGATAGCCATCAAACAAAGACGGTCACTGCATCGCGCACTTTCAGATCCGCTTGTGTGGCCGTCTGGAGCACTCTTTATTCCGATATCAGGAAGCCGCTGAAGCTCTTCACTGTTAAATGTAGATTGAACACTCATTTAGAAATGCGTTTTGTGTTTAGTTTGTTGTCCTTCCCCGCACCTCCGACTCGCGCAGTTGGCTGCGCACGTTGCGAAAGAAGTTCAACGTACATTTCAACCACCAGGATCGTGTTCATCATCATAAGATGATCGTTATCAGAATCATCAAATTGAATGGGGACCAAAAATCGTGACGGGGTGTGGGGGGTGGAGAATAATCATTACAGAGCCGATGTTATGCACAGACTTCAGGCGCGATAGACAAGAACGCTACCGCCGTGATGTCACTGGAATGCGGTTACTCATGAAGAAGGGGAATGACATTTGTTGATGTCGCCAGTGGCGTTTATTTAACCACGCGCATCGCCATCGCTTCCTTCTTCCAGTTCCTGCAGTTGTTGGAGACGACACCGCACCTTCGAGGTCTTTTGATGGTAACAGTCTGGCTCAAGGTCTTCCAATTGATCCTATTATATATAGATTTATATTTTGGCTTATTACAAAGTGCTTTACAACAATTATAACATAAGATGATGGGTTAATAAAGGGGCTGTTGTAGTTATGGTAGGACAGGTGTGAGTGGTTAAGAAGGGGTAGCTACAGGAGTTAATATAGGGGTTGGGGTAGTGATAGGGGTTGGGTTAGTTATAGGTGTTGGGGTAATTTATTATTTTATATTAATGGTATCGTTCAGTTACGTTCACTTTGGCATGTAAGCTGAAGGATTTTGCTTCTTCTTCAGTCATTTTCAAATTAAATTTCCTAACAAGGTAATTGTTCCAATGCGACTATGAAGACCTCGTACTTGCCAGCATGATACCGAATTTAATAATAATACAGTAATGTATTGTATTAATATCGATTTAAGTTTACTCATTCTGAAGTAGGCCATCCAGTCAAAACGTCGAGACATTATCAGGGACGGAATAAAGTGATGTATTTACCCCTTTTAATTTAGTCTAGTGTATGAGCAATTTGTTTTTGACACATGAACCTGAAATACAGTTCTAAAAAGTATAAAGAGTAGCACCTAACTCAAGTCACGTACGTAACTTTACCGAAATAACCAACGGGTATGGATTACTGTTGTCACGAAAGCTTCAAATTAAGATTAGTAGCACCTAAGTCTACCTCTTATCATGACGTACTACATTAATAGTAGTACTTCTTCTCCCTAGCGTTCTTCCCGCTGTGGCACAGGGTCCGCTTTTCGACATTGTCTTCTCCATTTGGCTCGGTCCAGGGCATCTTCGGGGGATGCGTTGACCGTCTTAATGTCTTCCTTTATTCGATCCATCAATCGCTTCTTCGGACGTCCGCGTGGACGGCGTCCCTCTGGCTCAATACGCATGGCAGTCTTGGCCACTGATGACTCTTCACTTCGCATCACATGGCCATACCACCGAAGCCTTGCCTCAAGCATCTTGTCCGCAATGGGGGCCACACCAAGTCGCTTCCGAACGTCTTCGTTCATGACACGATCCCATCGAGTCAGTCCAAGCCTCCATCTGAACATCCTCATCTCCATGGTATGGAGGGCTTGTTCGTGTACAGTTGTGGCTGGCCAGCACTCGGATCCATAGAGTGCCACCGGTCGGACGATGGTCTTGTAAATTTTTCCCTTCAGCCTATCCGGCATTTTCCGATCACAGAGGACTCCGGTGACTTGCTTCCACTTCATCCATGCCGCATTGACTCGTGACCTCACATCAGTCGTGATGCTTCCATCTGAGCTGATGGTGGTGCCCAGGTACTTAAAGTCCGTCACTTTCTTCAGATCTTCTCCGTCAATGCTGATGGTGCCGTCGGTTTGGGGGCCACACTCCATATACTCTGTCTTTTTGATGTTGAACCTCATTCCATTTTCGTCCAAACGTTCCTTCCACAGGCGCGTTTGTCTTTCCACATCTCCTCTCTCTTCATCTGAGAGTAGGACGTCATCCGCATATAGAATTGACCATGGCAGGGGCGTGTGCAGGTCAGCAGTGATCGTGTCCATGCACAGGATAAACAGGAGTGGTGACAGGGCCGATCTTTGGTGCACTCCAACGCTGATGGGAAATGGCGGTGATATGCCCACTGCGCACCTGACTGCACTGGTGACGTTCTTGTATAGGAGTTGCACCCAATGCACGTAGGTTTCAGGGACTCTATGGGATCGAAGCGAGTGCCAGATGAGGTCGTGGGGGACCCTGTCAGATGCCTTTTCAAGGTCTAGGAACGACACGTGCACAGCTTTGTTCTTCTCTTTGTGCCTCTCCAGCAGGAGCATAGCCGCAAATATGGCGTCCGTAGTGCCACATCCTTTGACGAAGCCGCATTGGTTGGGTGATGGGGTGATGATGTTTCTAATCCTCGTGTCCAAAACTCGCTCAAAGATCTTCATCGCATGACACAGGAGCCGGATTGGCCTGTAATTCGAGCATTCTGCCACGTCCCCTTTACCCTTCCAAATTGGAACCGTCGTGCTGGTCGACCAGGCTTCTGGGACCTCACCGGTGCTCGTGATGGTGCTGAAGAGCTGGGTAAGGAGGGCAGCACCCTGCCTGCCAAGGATCTTCCAGGCCTCAGCAGGGATATCGTCCGGGCCAGTCGCTTTCTCATTCTTCATTCTATTGATAGCTTGTTCCACTTCGATGATGGTGATAAGCAAAACGGGACCGAGGACGTGTTCAGCACTAATAATTGGTGGGTGGGGAAATTCCTGGTTGCAGATTCCAGAGAAGTAGTCGCTCCAGCGTTGAAGGATGGCGGGCGGGTCTCTGAGAGCGCTGTAATTCTCATCCTTTATGCATTTAACCTGACCATTATCCTGAGTCGAACGATGGCGCGCCTCTGCCAGTCGATAGATCTTATTGGCACCTTCTGGGGTGTCCAGTTCGACATACAGTTGGTCGTATTGAGCTAATTTCACCGCTGCTACTACTCGCTTCGCTGCCGATTTGCAGTTTCTGTAGTGTTGGTTATCCAGATATGCTAGCGTTTGGCACCACTTCTTGAAAGCTAGCTTCTTCTCTTTCACTGCTAGCTGCACTTCTTCGTTCCACCACAATATTTGCTTGTCAATGAAGCGTTTTCCCGGCTTCGTTAGCCCCAGTGCTTCCGTTGCTGCTGTGCACAGTTGGCCGGCGAGATCTTCCCAAATCGCATTCGCTGGTCGGTTGGTGTTCACGTCAATCTGATTGAGGGCGACTCTCAGCTGATCCTTGCATTCCTTCATCCGCCACCACTTAATTCGCTGCTGTCCCGTTGTTGGTGGGCGATGTCGCTGGCCAAAGTCCATTTTCATGTCTATGACCAGGATGCGATGTTGTGGGGCGATGTTGTCCGATGGTATGACTTTAGTGTTTGTCACCGTTTTCAGCTTATCCCGCTTTACAAGCCAGTAATCAATTTGAGTTGATCTCCCACCACTGGCGTACGTAATGAGATGGGACAGTCTCTTCTTGAAGAAGTTGTTGGCGAGGACAAGATCATGGGCTTCCGCAAAGTCCAGGGCTCGGTTTCCCTCATCGTTCCGGGTACCATATCCTTGGCCATCATGGTTTCGAGGGTATCCATCCCGGGCGTTTCCAACGTGTCCATTTAGGTCTCCACCAATTATTAACTGCTCTTCTCCGTTTATCGATTTCATGTGTCCATCAAATTGTTCCCAAAATTCCTCCTTGGTGTCTGCTGGGCAGCCAGACTGCGGCGCATAACAAGATACCACCCAGAGGCGTAGGTCGTTTGAGTCGATTTCGATGGACATGAGGCGGTCGGAAACACGGTGGACGGCCACAACGTTGTCTCGTAGATTTTGGCTGACTGCGATTCCAACGCCGTTCTTGGTGTTTCTTTCACCGTTGTAGAACAGTTTGTATCCTTCTCCAATCTCCCTGGCCTTTGCTCCACTCCACTTCGTTTCTTGGATGCATACGATGTCGATACGACGGGCCTTTAGGGCAGCTGACAATTCTCGACTTCTCTCTGTCAATGTTTCGATGTTGAGTGTTCCCAGCCGTAGTCGGACTAACTTCTTTAGCCTGCCCCGTCCATGAGCAGGTAGCCCTCGTCCATTTCTCGCGTCGTTTGGGCGAGGGCGGCGTGCGTTTCCCCCGGGGGGCGCCCTAGCTTGTTCCAAGTTGATTTGACGTTGCCATAGATGCGACACAGAAATACTTTGGCCGGTGGGTCGCTCCATCTGACGCCAAAATAGTAGTACTGTAGACCCTAATAAAAACCAAGAGGCCATTGAGATGGGGGCTTTTTAAATGTAAAGCTAATTTTTAATAAGTACAACTTAAAGCTTTCGTGACTGCAGGAATTCATATTCTTTGGGTCTTTCCGTAAAGTCGTGTAGATAGAAATAACAATAAAATAATAAAAATGAAAATAAAGTTACTAAAAAATAATAAAAATGTCACGACGTTTCGATCGCAACACAAGCAATCGTCATCGGGAGGAAAAAAAACGTCAACGTGATATTTTTTTTATTCACTTTATTTTTATTATTGCATTATTATTTTTCTATCTACGTGACTTTACCGAAAGACCCAAAGGATAGGGGTAGTGATAGGGGTAGTGATAGCGGTTGGGGTAATGATAGGGGTAGTGATAGGGGTTGGGGTAATGATAGAGGTAGTGATAGGGGTTGGGGTAGTGATAGGGGTAGAGACAGGGGCGATTTCTTCATTAGAGCGATTGGGCGAGGCACCACCAATGTCATTCAACCACAGAGTCACGCTAGCCGTCACTGCAGCCTCTGGATATAGTCCAATCAGCGTCATGTCACGTTCTGTGGAGTACCGCCTCTTTTTGGGCGATTTCACTCCGGCTGAGAATCGCCCCGAGTGGCCCCATAGACTTACATTCAAAGATGTTTTTTTTTTAGAACGGGGGCGCTGCAATGCATTCTCTATGGCTTCCGGGAGGGCTCGCCCTAACGTGCTTACGTCATCATACGTAAGCACGTTTCATCCAACAATATAATTTGTGGCCACCTAGTGGAATCTTTAATAAAATAAACTTGAGTGGTTTGTTTTAATAGTGAGTATAGAAACAAACAAGATGTATTGTAAGAGTCACTTTATTTTTCATTAATATTAATGAAGTGAAGTTGCCTTTACATGCTTAAGCTGTTAATTTATCCATTGCATGGGTGGACCTTATCCTTATCAATCATCCAGACATTTGCCCCCCCTGAGAGATTTTGCAGGAGCCGCCACTGGGTAGAGATAGGGGTTGGGGTAGTTATAGGGGTAATGATAGGGGTAGATATAGAGGTTGGGGTAATGATAGGGGTAGTGATAGGCGTTGGGGTAATGATAGGGGTAGTGATAGGGGTTGGGGTAGTCATAGGGGTTGGGGTAGTGATAGGGGTAGAGATAGGGGTAGGGTTAGTGATAGCGGTTGGGGTAATGATAGGGGTAGTGATAGGGGTAGTGATAGGGGTTGGGGTAGTGATAGGATTTGGGGTAATGATAGGGGTAGTGATAATTTCATACTTATTATTTGGTTTGTGTTTATTCAAGATTTGTGACTTAGCCTGTTATTACCACTATTTCATAGGGTTTTACTAATCTTCGTTCCACTGCCTATATTGTGGGTTCTCTGGCTGTTTGTTCTTGAGTTATTATTTTTTTCTGATATCACGGGGCTAGGGAATTTGTTTTGGCTTAAGAGCGACCCTGACTGCCATAATTATTCTTTGATGCTTCGGTCAGGTCGCGTAGAAACTTATTAAAGGTAAATAATATCAGTATTGAATTAACAATTGAGGACTCGCGACCCCCTGGTGCAGACTGTAGTTTGGTTTTCAATTGGAGTGAGGATGAGGATAGATAATGTTGGCTTAATCTTCGTGGCTAAGTTGGTAACTTTGTTTAACTAATATGGCTCAAAACCCGTCTGTTTGCTTTCCCTGTTGGCAATATTAGAACTTTTAACCGTTACAATTTTTTTT